ACAGGCATGTGCCGTAGTTGGCGACCTCCGACCTCTTTGGCGCTGCATCCCTAAACAGACCTCCCGCGTTCCCCGCCCTCTCCCCCCCTACCCCCGCACACACACGTACACACCAGGGCTGGTCCAGTCGTACTCTCCCCACCCAGCATGGCCAGCAGCTGCTTGGGCAGAGGGACACGGAACCAATATCCCCCCCCTCCTCCCCCCCCTCCGCCGCCGCCGCGTCGTCGCCGTCCCCGAGTAGTAGTGGTAACAGTGGTGGCGGTGGCGGTGGTATGGCTCCGTTGTTGGACGCCATTGTGGCTCACGTGCCGTCCCCCGCCGGCCGGGGGGATCTGGAGGGGCCATTCGCTCTGCGAGTGGCCATGATCGAGAGGGACCCCTACGTGGGGCGGATCGCCACGGGCGCGTGTGCGTGTGTGTTTTGGCGGAGGGGATGGGGGTGGGGGTGGGGGTGGGGCATAAAGCGGACGGGACTTAGGGGATATCGAGGAAGGGAAGGGGACGGTTAGCAGTTAAGGAAGGATGTCGGGTAACTGAATCTTACTATTAGATATCCTTGCCGTACAGCCAGTGGCGGCTGTTGCTTTGTGTGCACGTGGCCACCATTCCATCCATCCATTCCATCCCCCCCGTTCTGTCTCCGCATGGCATGCGTGGGTGCTGTACACCGTTTTACTGCCGTACAACACGACCGTGGTGCCGGCCCCCCAGGCCGCATCGCGTCCGGCAAAGTCCGTATCGGCGACAAGGTGAGTACGGCGATCGAGTACGACAGACCTGTCTCCTTGCATGCTGTAGGTTTTAGTAACAAGTTTCGAGATTGTCTAGGTTACTGCGAGTTCTCGGCATCCATCCACATGCGCATCCTCCCCGCAATCCCCTTCTTAACCCCGCTATGATTTCCCCCCCTCACTCACACACACACACACGCATGTCACGCCAAAACATCTGGAGCGCACAAATTACGTGCCACGACCGAGTTAGTCGCTATCCGCAGGTGGCTAAGCCAACCGAAGGTAGTCAGGCGAACCGCGTATTGATTTAATTGAGACTTTGAGTGTTGCCTGACTAGCGTATAAGGCGCTTTCCGTTGTGATTTGAGGATGTTAGGTTGTCGTTCATCTGTCGTTAGTCGGATGAGCGTTACGCATCCAGGGTAGGGCCGGGTGTGATAAGGCCCGGCGTGGATCAGTCGGTACTTCGCCATAAATGCGAGTGCGAAGAGGCCAAACATTTGTCGTTTGGCTCTCGAAGCAACTCTTCGTGAGCGTATAGACCATTATATTATTGAAGATAATATAATTATAGGAGGGTTGATAGGACTGTTTTGGTGTAAGAACACTGCAATCCTACCCTACCTCGACACGCGCATCAGAGCAGGATAGACAGAGAGTGTACACACAGCATTCCATAAGGTCCGCCCTTAGTGCTCCTACCTCTAGGCTCGACAGGGATCCGTTCCCAGCCCGTCCTCGCCTACTGCGATCGCGCAAATCAAGGTGCTTGAATGTAAATGCTCGTCGCTCCGTACCGGACTAGCGTGAAGTGGGCCTTTGCGTCCAGCCTTACACCCGATCCCAATGTTTAATCAGGCCACACCACATCCCAATGCGCTTAATGGGTGGGTGGGAGGGTCTTCGGCTGGTCCGCAAGTTTTAAGCCTTGGGTCCGGAGCGGCGGTAAGATGCTTGCATTTATGACAGGGAAAATAATTGGCTACTCTTGCGTCTTACTGCGGTCTCCAATGCGCGTGGGCGATTTACGCCCTGTTCATCTGCCTACTTGCATCGCGGCTGATCTCCTTCTCCTTAGGTTTAGATTAATTAGATGTAAACCACTGATTCCCGGTTGTCCTGAATGTGCGATCATTCTGATGCGTTTCCGTACCGCTGTCGTGCCCAGGTCGATGGCTTTGCCTTTCTTGGCACTGACGCGACTAGCTCCGCGCAGCCTTCCTTTGTTCCTGGATGGGGCTTACGTGGCGTGGTGAGGTGTCGCCGAGCTATTGTGTTGTCCTTTGCGCTTGCGATAGACGGGCCCGTCTCCCCGCAGGTCCCTCTTCGCACTGGCGGCCTCGGCCTTCAGGGGGGTCCGCTTTCCTTGGTTGGATTGTCGGCTCCATCTCTCGAGTCTCCGCCTTTGGCGCCTTCTGTGGGTTATCCGTTTGCTGCCCCCTGTTCTGTGTGCAATGTTGGCTGATTATCGTGTCTCGCTTGCCGTAGGAGTTCTTTCTTGGCCCTGGGGTTGTCACCGGCGCCGCCGCCGGATCCGCTGGGCCCCCCGTTAGCCGGCCTTTCCCGCTGGGCGTTCCCGCCCAGGTTGGTAGAGAAGTCCTTTGGCTGCTGACCCTGCTCTAGCGCTCTCATAAGCGATTCTCTCGGACTGCAGGCACCTGCCCCCTTGGGTGTGGCTCGCGGTC